AGAAGGTTTACAAGCTGGTGAAGAAGCAACTTCCACCCTCCCAGGAAATGTAGAAGGTGGCAGGCTCATTTTGCTACAAGGGCTCCAGAAGGAAGGTTCTGTTCTTGACTCCAAGGAAAATGGCCTGTTCGGGGTAGTCTAGTGTTTTACGTTGGACGTAACTGGCAACACTTTGCCAGCCAGGATGGCCCCTGGAGACTAGTGCGGACCGCAGAGGAAGTCCCAGTTCAAGGATCTGAAGAAGCAACTGATCGTGCATAAGCTATGCACCTCCTTCCGAGCCCGCCAGCTCTGCCTCTGAGACTATACGCACAACACGATATTGGCCTCTTCAGTCCAAACCCCTCACAAGGCAGGAACCAAAAGCTTCTCATTCTCAGGTGATGTCTTCTGCAGACGACGCAGCAACTAAGGCAGGGTGGACATAGGAAACTGGGTCTTCTGGAAGGCGTGGGGAGAAAGAAGCCGAAGAGCAAATGCCTGTTCCATCTGTGTGGGTTGAGGGTGAAAAGAAGAAAGAGGGTTCATCAGACTTCCTGGGAGACCTTTAAGAAGCTGTTGTAGCCGTTGGATTTAACCTGGTTTCTCCTGGTCTCCGGCATCCATGATTATCAGCTCTGTTCCAGTCTCGAATGCATGCTCACCCCATAATAGCCTTCTGTTAACCCAGGATGCATTTCTGCAATTTCCAAGTGCCAACCAAGGGGCATCAGAACTATGGAGTACCCCATCATCCCTTTCCCATCTTCCCGAGAGCCTGTATCGGCCTTCCCAGGTAGCCCAGACAGGAAGCACAACCCAAAGAGCTAATTCTACTTTATTGTAAGGCTACATTAACAGAACTTGCAAGTCTGAGAGGACAAATCTCCCACCGTCTCTTTTTATAGCCCGAGAAGTTAGGGAGGTTCCTTTCTGAGTTTCTTTCTCTTTCCGTTATGCAGCTGCGGGCTACACTCCCTCTTATCCGATTGTTCCCTAGGCCGCATCTCTTCCCCGTCTTCCAAAGTCTTCCAAGGTCATTCCCATTATAGCCTATGACTGAATGGTGGTCGAAGGGCAACAAAATCAATGACGGTACCTAATCACCACCCAAAGTACAGAACTTCTCCAGAAGCACCATCTATCCAGAAGCGATCCACCCACTACAAGTAGCGTAACAAGCTTGTGCTCTTATACGTCAGAGCCCTGCCCACCCACAATGCATTTCTCTTGGACTATTCTCCATAAAATTCTTCTGTGCTTCCATCTGTGAGCCATAGATTCCATCTCGAGTTTGAAAAACCACAGAGGTGTTTCCTCTGGCCACTGACCAACCCCAACGTCCGTGACTCATCTCTGAGCTGCACACGGTGCTTTGACCCCAACTTGCAATATATTTTTGCAGCACCCACCTTTACCCAGTCTTACCTGGATGACAATGGGCTTGTGGTCCCTACTTCCATTTCCTTCCAGTTCATCTCCTACGCAGAGAACAATCCGGTGATCTGGTAGAGGCCCACAGCCCAGACGGTACTGCTCCAGTGCTGTGAGTCAGATACAAAAGGATCAGCAATATTAATTCAAGGGATGACGCCCCTCTTCCCTAACCTGATAGTCCCTAAATATATTAGGACTTGCAGCTCTACTCGGCCCTATGAGTTGGGAATACTGGCTGTTGGCATTTAGAAGGTGGACACTGATGGGCTAAAAGAGGATGGGGAACTAATGTCTGTCTGGAGGTGGACCGACCTTCCAGCACCAAAGCTGGCATGGCCAACAGTGAAGGATGATGGGAACTGTGGTTCAACATGTAGCTTATCCCTAGCTGAAAATGAACGATCCCTCTACAAACAGATGGAGTTTGACTCTTTATTGGAAACAACACCTTCCCACAAGCTCAACAAACAAAACCGGCTATTTGTTCAGAGGTTGGCCTCTATCTCACCTGCTCGGAATTCTTGGAGTTTGAATAAGTGCAGATGAGTGTTAATCTCCAGCTTGCTCTGCCCCTCGGTGGCGTTGAGCCCCCACCAGGAGATGCAGGCGTTGCCCCGGCACTGAAGGAATATCCCTCCTCGGTTACTGGCAACCATGACGCCTTTTTCCAGATCCTTCAGCAAACTCTGAATAGCTTCCTGCTTTGGAGAGTCGGCTATTTTAACAGGGCACGGCAGGACGACCCGCTTCATGCAGTCAGCTGACGCATTCAGCGAAGCAGTGACAGACGTGATCACATATTCGCCTTCTGGGAGCAAGTACTTCTCGATCAGCTCGCCAAAGTAGAAGATGGATAAGCAGAGGGAGAATTCCTCTGAACACAGAGAGAAAAAAGCAGTCATCCATAGCCGAGGGCTCGGCACTCGCTGGCATCAAGGGAGTCCCAGCAGAAGTTCACCGAGGTGATCTCTAAACGAATGGGAGAACGGTCTCCACCCACTGAAGGGAGCCATTATGGGGTTGCTTTCCCAGCTGTTCCCCCAAAGGCAAACGGGAGGAAGATTTATTTGCTGGACAACCTTTTCCGTCAGCCCAAGCCATTTTGTCCTCTCAGAAAAAGAACAAGATGATGCCATGGGCAGAAGACCACAGGATGGACACGTTGGACGGGTATCTCCACCAGCTTTGAAGGACACAGGGAACAGGAGATAAGCCGGATGCTTACACTCTCTCCTTCAGCACCTTCTGGTTTCCCAAAGGGACCGCCAACTCCAGGAGGTTATTAGTATCAAAAGTCCTTCAGTGCACCACAATCCTTATCTCCATTAGCAGGGTTCCTCAACCTCAGCAACTTTAAGATGGGTGGACTTCAACTCCCAGAATTCCCCAGCCAGAATTCTGGGAGT